TTTCCTTCGTTCTTCTTTAAATAAAATTTGAACGGATATGAAGTTACTGCTAAGGAATAAAATTCTCAGTTAACAGGGCCAAAAAGAAATTAATGGAAAAAATGTTAAACATGTCTTGTAAAATGCATCACAATGCTGGATTAATCACTCTTTTGAAATCCCAGACGTGTAACCTTTTTATCTATTTATCTATTTATAATTGATAATAAACAATATAATTTATAGTAAACAATATAAGGGTTGGTTGTTTCATCTTTGAATAAATTATGTGGTAATTTATCTAATGGACAAAAGGAAAAGAGAGAGAGAGAGAGAGAGAGAGAGAGAGAGAGAGAGAGAATGAGAGCGAGAACAAGCAAGCTGAAATTTATCGAAAAGTGAGACAACCCAGCCTTAATCATGTATGCATAAATAAAATATCTGAATAAATAATAAAATATTTTTGTGCAAAAAGTGTAAAAGATATGTGTATAAAAGAAATAGCTAGATCTACAAATTTAATCCTAATTACAATAATTCTACATCGTAGATAAATTATCAAATAATCAAAGACTGGAACCGGCAAAATTTGATATCACAGGCACAACTTTTAAATAAAAACGCATTGATATACACAAAACATTTTCTTTAAGTGATACGTGTTAAATGTAAATGCATATCCTGTGTGTGTGTCGCATTCAAAATAACGTTAAAATTCAAACTCACCGTAGCTATTCCGGTACCAGTCAGCGCCGATCACTGGCTTAAATGTCGCCGACTGTCTGCATCGCGATCTCGAGGAAGACTCGCGGAAGACCAAGAATGAACGATGATCACGGACCGTTCCGTTCCTCGCGTTATTTGTTAAGAGGCCAAAGGTTGCCTCTTCTACCATCGGTATTTGTGTACCCAGCACTGACAGAATGTGCCATGCACAGGTTGCGTACTCAGTCTTCTCTCGTTCTACCGTCACTTCGATCGCTCGGACTTCGTCTGGCTATCATTCTCCCACTCTCCCTTCGTTTGTCCACCACGTCGATCTCCTTCTGTATATCGTATTTAAATGCAGATCACGCCGCTATCTCTACAATTCGAATGAGAAGTTTGGTCGAAGCGATTCGTACAGAAACGTGAGAAGTACCCGATCTTTTCGACACAATTTGGCAGAAGAATGATGCCTGGAGTTGAAAAATCAGCAGATTTTTAATATTACATGCGCATCATTTTAAATATCCAATATTATATGTGGATTTTTTCATACGTATCTTCTATTTTATTGATTCATATTTTAATAAAGCGATAATTTTAATTTTTACGTAATTTTATATACAGATGATAATAATTATTGATTAACCTATATGTAGAAAGTCGGTGACTTATATTGTATATGTATGTTCATTATATTGGTATTCAAGAGTATCGATCCACCTGCCAAGCTAGCAAAGGCATACATTAGTGAAGAAATTATTGCAAATCGTATCTACATAATCGTTAATAATAATTTATACTGCACAAATATATCATTTACACTAAATATAAGATTACTTCGCATTTTGAATGAAATGGTCTTTATTAAATGAACTTCACTGAATATTAATGTCAATACTGTCATGCTAGAGTGCTGCATAAGTTATCAAGCCGTTGTGTGTGGGCTATTATAGAATCATTTATGTCAAAACATGAAGACGGAAAATCCAGAGACTAACGCTATCAATGTGCTTTCCTCATTAATAAAACAGCAGCACTTAAGCAAATTGAAATTATAATTATGAAGCTTTGAACATGTTAATTTCACAACTATAGAAATCTATACATTACACTATTACAGTATACATATACACATACGTATATGTATATCTATAAATATATAGACACAGTATTTTAGTCGAAAACATTCCTCCATCGGTTAAATATTATGTAAAAATTTGAAACAAGTTCTATTTCTGCTTAAAATTCAGCAACAGGCTAACTTGAGATTATTAAAATTAATTTGAATGATTCTTCATTTAAATTTATTCTTTTTATTCTTGCAATAGTATTGTTTCAAATTTCCAATTCATTCAATATAGTTCTTAAGAGAGAGAAAGCAAGGAAAAAGTATATAAACACAAATGCTTGAAAAATTATTAAGAGAATCGTACTTACAGAACGAGGAAAAATGCAAAATATATACGAATGGTTGAACGTGAAGTCTCCGTAATTATATTTAGTGAGTTTTTTCAGGAAAGTAATAGTCTCTTCGACGGACACGCTCAGAAACTCTTGTCAATTGTTGCGTATATAATATTGTATTATATAGCAAAAGAAGAGTCAAAGTGAGTATTATTCTATAAAACTCGATTTAAACAACTAAAATATTTTTTATATTTAAAAAATTTGGCTTCAAAATAAAAAGAAAGATTTTATCTAAATTTAATTTAAATAATTATACAAGTAGAAAATGATAATAAGAATCTTGATAAATTTTACAAGAGCTATCAACATATTTTTACGGAATATTTCATTGATTTTTTGTGATTTTAATGTTTCCTGATTTTGTTATATTTATCGTAATTATCTTTATTATTAATATTGTAACTCCAGATAATTTCATTTATTATTTTGACAATTTTTAATCAATCATCAAATAAAAGACAACAAAATAAAACACTATTCACTTTCACAAATTATTTTTTTGTCAAACATCGATTAGAATATCATTATACGCGCACTTGTCCCATTTTAACTGTCATCTCTGACAGCGAAATTTGATAATTTATTGATCCCGGAATTGTAAAAAAGGTTGATTAATTAACTTGATCGAACAACTTACTAACCGACTGATTGATAAACTGCCTGACTGACTTAACTCAGCAATGACGAATGTAAGTGACCAAAAGAATGAAGAAGTGGGGATACACAGGACGAGAGGCGACTACTCGTTTGGCATATATGATGGCATAAAGAATATTACATCACCATCACTATCGTCATCGTTTTGATGTCGATATGTTGCCCAGAAAATATATTTGTCGTATTTGTTAGACTATTACTGGAATCATCAAATCTTATCAGGATGTGACTAATGTAGACTGAATCTGAATAATCAATATATTGACAACAGTTTCTTCTTCAAGTAGAATCTTATTATTTTAGTAGAGAATATTATTATGTAGAGAATGTATGTATATAATAAAAAAAATATCTTTCTTTATGCGGAAAACAAGCACAAACACCGAAAATAATAAATAAAATAAATTTCTTTTAATTTGTGTGTGCTAATTTTTATAAATATACCAAATAGTTGCGCTCGAGTAGCAGAAGAGAGAGTTATTGCAATTTTTTAAATACAATGCTAAGATAAACCAACAAAATAAATCAATTAAATTAATTACACATCTACCTCATTTTAATACGATCTCGTTTTAGTAAAAAGAAGAAAGAAAGCTTCTTTATAAAAACTGTTAAGGTAATTGTTTTAAGCTCAATAATACTTTTCACAAATTTTAGTGTTACTCTCTCTCCTTAACTTTCGAATTATTGAAATACGGCGTTGGCATTGATTATCTCAGGAAGTCGAGTGAACGTAAATGGAAACTCGGGTAATTTCAGCACAGCGGTTTAACTGCTACATACAGCTTTCACTGGATACGACATTCTTATCGAATCTTTCGTTTTCGTTCTACTTTGCGACGAATTAATGGTGATTGGCGTCGCAATTGGCCAAGTTAAACTGGACCTATTTTTTCTAAGAACAGGGCTTATGTTTTATTGCAAGGTCTCTGAAATTGTATATTGCAAAACGCTTCTCACAATTTCTTGTCTGATTATTGTAATACATAATCTTAATAAATGTAACTTCTTATACGTGCTCTGACGAAAACACTGCTGTATGAGTCACTTATGTAGCACGCAAAAAATTCGTCAATGTATTCGATATCGATTGAGGAAAATTGTTCTTTTTTTAGGATTTATTTATACAAATTGCTCACTAATATTGGTAGAGATACAGCTACATATTTCATTTTGGAAGACTTTGTTCACGATTTCTTGAGATAGAGTATCGATAAAGAATATCTAAAGTCATATCAGAAAACATCACGTAATGATAGGTACATGTCAGTGCGCTGCATTTTTGCACGTTTACCGAGCGAAATCGTCGACGATTCAAGCAAAAAATGTACAAAACTATTACCGAACTTGTTTATATTGCTACATTTACTCACTACGAAATTCAGCATTACTCGATTTCCAAATATTATTGCGTATTTTGCTAATGACATAATAATGACAATATAATCTTAAACACCTCAGTACGAAAACAACACACTTAGACATATCCAACTTAATTTGATTGGTTATTACTTTTATAAAAATAAACATACATTGTAATCAATTTTTTTTCGATCAAAACCAAAGACATTAAGAAACATAATGATACCAAATAAATGTTAGGTATCTTTATTAATAAAAAAGTTATAAGCAATGGAAAAAACATTGAAAAGGTATTGGGAAAAGAAAAGCTGGATATGCCATACTGAAAAGGCGTTTTAGAGTTATTAATGTGCATTTATGTGTGTATATATATATATATATATGTATAAAAGTGCGGTATATTCTAACGTACTGCTTGACTAAACGTTATATCACAATATTTCTATATTGAGATATTACCCTTTCTAAGAATCAACTTTGGCAATAAAATTTCTAAACTTAATTAATTTAGAAGACAAAGTAAAACACATAATTTTTATGTTTCGTCATTAATATGATTACATATAAAGTAATTATCATTTTATTACATAAAAAAGAATATTAAAATTCGATTATTCTATGATGTGTGTCTTGATAGTAAAATACAAACGGTATTATCTGAAAAAAAGTTCGATGGAAAGGAAAGCTGAATAAAAAGAAAAATATTGTACAAAAAAGGTAAATTTTGTTTTCTTAGATTCTTTAAAATTATCATCTAATAAATTATAATCAATGACGTAACGTCCCCAATTACAAAAATAAATAAACTATCGCATTAAAAAAATGAAAATTAATATTCTGTTAATGAACCATCTCTGTCATATTTTTCTGGCAAGCTTTTCGGTAAAAATATATTATGTCTTAACTATATATTATAAATTATATAAATTTAATCGTGCTATTTTAAAGATACTCGATATCGAGCACAATTCGTACAAAAGTTTGCGATGCATTTGTAATCGTTTGAAACGGAAATGCTTCGGCTTTCATAGTGGACGGAGTTTATGATCGATCGACATCGAAGCTTACGCTGACAATCTCGTTAACGACTGCCGTTGGCGATGATTACGTCATAACGATTTCGAATCGCGTTAAACGACTTAATCGATCGACAACTGCCGGAAGGATCCATCAAGACCAAATAGGTCGTCCTGCGTCTTTGGTTTACCTGGTCGTAAAGCCTCGTTAGTCTTCATAGCTTCCTGCTCCGCGAACCACGGCCCGTAATCCTCCAACTTCTTCATCCACATGTCTGAAAGATAAAGAAAAAGAAATAATATTAGTCAGAGAAATCGTCTTAAAGTCTTAAAGATATTTAAAGGGTGATGTTTTCTATATGTGCATATTGCTATTTCAATAACAACCATTGTTATTATCTCGCTTTGATATTATATGCCGGATGTCTCACAAATTTAATAAAGAAAATTTAATGTTTTTTTCTCGAAATGCTCAAGAGACTAAAAAAAAGTGTGTTTGAAATAAAAAATAAAGTTTCAAAATGCACTCTAAACTTCAAATAAATAGAAATAGTGAAATTAACGTACCATGTATATTCTGGATGGGTCCAGCGTCGCCACCGTATTCAGCCGGCAATATCTCTCGAGGTATGTAATCATAAAGCGTCTTGATATCACTGTGCATGAAGATGCGATTGCGTATCTTTTCCTTCAGGAAAGGCTTGACAAAATTAAGGATTGTGTCTACGAGTGGACTGATGTTTATCACGTGCACTTCCTTCAGCTTCACCGGATATGCTTCCATCGCGCAAACCAGGAATTTCTTCACTACAGGTGGTGTAAACTTGGCAAAATGTATGGGCGTCGCGACGGCAGCGTCGAGAATGTAGACGTCGCCAGCCACACCGTGTTCCTCCTCCTTCAGACGAATGTCGCCGATCATGAACACTATCTTTAATGATAATAATGTCTGTTCTGACGTCATGATACGAAATATTACATAAAATATAATATTACATTGACGTGAAATAGTTTTTAAAAATCATCAAAATCGATATAGCGAGTTCAATTATAAACACTACAAATATAAAAAGAATTAAGAATGACGTAATAAAATGTTATTTATGAACAGCAGAATAAATTTACCGAAATAATACCAGTAAATGTATTTTTTAAGGGATATTAAGCACTAATACGAAAGATTGTGTTGTAAATAAGATTGATCTTTTATTTTTAAACATAACAGAATTTTACTGAAGAAAGCATTTCCAGATTCATGTATGGTTTTACTGAAATATCTAAAAATTTAGCTACATACAAGTCTGAAAATAATTTGTTGAACCATCCAAATAGTTATGCAGAACGCTCAAGCTGATTGCTAGAACATCAAAACTTTTTGGAGCACTGCTCATCATGCTTGAGCGTCCTACATAATTATTCTGATAGTCCAACAAAATTATTATCAGATTTATAATTAAATTTGTAGATACTTTAACAAAACCGTTGCTTCCGTATAGCCAAATGTCTGTATAGTTTTGTCGAAATGAAATGACCGCAATGAACTTATACCTTCATAGCTTCCGGTATATTGGGAGTTGGTACGTCCTTATCGATTCCTCGCATGACGATCACTCTACATCCCTTGTACGTCAAGCCTGGCAAAGGAGGTATATGTCTGCAGGAAGGAGACAAAGAGTTAAAGGTTGCCGTTTAGTTAGAGGAGCACCATTTCTTTCTAAATAATATCGATATCTTAAACTATCGCCATATGTATACTGTGTACAATTGCAAGATCCTTACACAAGCTTCACTATTTCTTGCAGCGACGGCCTTGTGATGTCACGATTGGAGAAAAATTCAGGGACTATTGCGCGCATCGTGAAGTACATGTCCAGTTTCCGTTTGCATTTCTCCAAGGAAAACTTGCACCCGCGTAGAAACGTCATTATTCTTTGATCATCTAAAAAGAGATAAGATTATATCATGATGACTGTATATCTATTATAGTAATTAAAAAAGAATCTACTTAAAGCCTACTTTAAATGATCTGTACAATTCATGTCGGAATTTAAAATAGAATTTTATTCTAAACATTTAAAGAGAATAAACAATGTATTAAAATAAAATGAAATATAAATTAAAATAAAATGTACATTAAAATTTTATAATATATATGTGAAAATATGCGGTATGTAAAATTATAAATAAGATTCTATATCCTAAAATTTTATGCAGACTGTAGTAGGTTGCCTTCGCGATTATATAATTTTATATGTCATTTAACGTATATCTAACAAAAATTGTATGTACCATCGAACTTAGGTAAATGCGGCTGCTTGGCGAGCCATTCTTTGATCATTTCGAGATCCTTATCGCGCGTTGCTACATTCTCATTCAACTCCACTCGTATCTGCTTGGACATTTCCTCCGTAGGTTGTATCAGCAGCATCTACAAACACAACAATCGCAATAAGAAAGTAGGAATATACCTATATGACATCAAACATAGGCAAGCAAATTCGAGAATTCTTGCAATAAAAAAATATAAATATATGTCCCCCATTTTCAGGATTAGAAAGCGTAAAATTAAATTACTTGCAAAATAAATCCGACATCGTCCTGACCGCGCGTATGCATAATGTCTATGACTCCTTTTCGGTTACACGTGTTATGCGCGCAATGTGCACTACAGAGATTACATAACCGGTTGAGATACCCATCGTTCTTATGTCAGGAATTAATGCTGACCAAAGCGGCTTGCTCAACGCGAACTTTCTCTAACTCGTCGCGGCTTCGTACGTAGAAGCCGAGAGAATGTTTCTTAATCTTTACCCCTTCTCGTTTCGGGAACGGCAGTATTTCGAAATTCATTTTTTATGACCCATTTAATCATATGAAAACATTTATAAAATCATATTCTTGTAATTAATACAGAAAACTCTATAGGTTTATTCTCCTCGCCACGCAGAACTCGAGAACAAAATACTTATTTAAAGAAGAAAAAAGGAAGAAATTTTTGAAACTGAAAAAAGACAAAGTGAAAAACAAAAGATTTTTTTAAATTAGAATAGTTATGGCACAAGCGCTCTTGGCCACCAGATTACTATCGCGATTGTCTTTTCATAAAGCACAGGAAAATTGGCAAGTGTGAAAGTCCGTAAGTATTCAAAAAATTAGTGACAAGCTTAGAACATTATTCAAGCACAGCAACGTCTGCAAAGTGCTAAAAATGCGCTTAAATATATTCTTTTTAGTACTTTTTTAACGTTTTGTAGACACTGTGTGTTACTATTATCTCTACAGCATCAAAGGATGTGATTTGAATACAATAGAAATGAAATTTATAATAATGTCAAATTAGTAGGAAAAAGAAAGAGAGAGAAAGAGAAACAAAGAGGACCTGATTTTAAATTTTAATTAAACATCAAAGATTTAAAAAAATTTAATATTAATATATAATTCTAAAGATTTAGGAAAAATAATATTTAAGTAATATATTAAAAAAAAATAAATGTATAGACTTAAACCTGTTCTCATAAATATAAAAGATCTTAAGTTTTCAGCTTTATAAATATTCAACATTCTTATACAGTTATTTGATACAAAATAAATGTGTCGTGTCTGCAGTATAAGACGAATAAAAAATGCAGTATAGACGAGGAAAGCGTTTGCAGTATAGACTGAGAAAAAATGTGTAAGAGTAAATGAAGATAACCTGGATTCTTAAAAAGAATTACCTTGTAAAAAAGTTAAAGAAAAGTTTGAAGAGTTAAGTAAGACATTGCGGATAATGGTTTCGCGTTAAATTTGAAATGTACAATCCCTTTTCTTTTTATTATATTTTAATATCAAGATTAAGCGCGACATTTAACTCTCTATGGGTCCGGGTAACTTTCAAGTCACATACTAATATTTCGATATTTTATTATAATTTATTTAATTTCTTACCGCTAGGTGATGTATACATCTTGTTATATATAATGCCTTCTTAGTAACCAATAACATTCTTGATAGCGGTATAAACTTTAATCTGATCAAAGTAACCCAAGCAGAACAACAAGTTGAAATGAATCAGAAATGATTGAAAAATGACTTTTAATGATGTTCAATCATTTGCGATTCATTTTGATATCATTTTGTCTGCAGATAGACATAATTTGTATTTATATGTTGATATTTGTTCACGTTACATAATTTTTTTTATATAGTCATGAAAAAAATTCACCCCATAGAGGATTAAAGCTTATTTCATTGAATGTAACTTTATAATATTGTGTAATAATATTAACGCGATATGATACGCATGCAAAATGATCTCGACTGAGTGTTTCCCAAATAGTTTATTTCATATATGTTATAAAAGAGAGCCAAACTTACCTTGACCGATGTGCAACACGATTTGCAGGCACAGACAAACACTCACCGTGCAAACGATCGCGGCAACGATGACTTTCGGATTGTTGCAGAGAGAGAAATGATCGGAGCCGCGAACTCGAGAGACGGCAAATGAACAACGGAGTGGGAACGATTACTTCTCGTGCGTGGACCGGTTCTCCTTTATACCATAGGGATGCCCCACTCTTACTTTGCTTGTTACGGTACGTAAAAAGAAAACCTGATTGATTAGCAATTTTTTGGGCAAATTTTACCAACAAATTAGTCGAGCTCTGTTGATTCATAGGAGATAGTCAGAAGAAATCCCGTCCATTTCATGACGTAAAAAAACATTTTGAACGATACTAGATACATTAAACAGAGCAAAGCAAACATTAACATATTGTGCAGTGTCTGTGGGCGTCCTAAAAATAATAGGCTGAAACTAAAAATTTTATAATGAAATATGGAGTTGTTTGTTACAATATTCAAATTTTAGTGATTTTATACAAAGAATTTAACGTAAAGATTTATTTCTATCTATATGAGAAAGAGATTATTAATTAATTTCCAATTTTATTAAAGGGGAGTCACGACCCGTCCAAAGTAAGTCAACATTAGCTAATATTACATATACATACACGCGTATATACACATGACATGCATAATTATTCATATGAATGTAGATCAATATTTAGCGAGTGCAGTGCATAAAGTTGACGTACATTGGTCATGGTGTCTGAAGCCAACTAAAAAAAGCTAATAGAGTATAATTCAAAAGTACATGATAAAAGTACATAATCTTTTACTTGTTTATATGCGAACCGCTTAAAGATACGTTGATCGATTCTCAGAAGAAAGTTTCACATTTTATTGTTTATCAGAGCAAAAAAAGATGAATCACGTACGCACCAAAGCGGTCAGGCGCGCTCATCAGGCGAGAATTTTCACGTTATATAAACGTTACAATTTCATGAGTTTCTAAAATTATGGAATTATATTAAAGTTAGCTATCGCCGTTCCTCGGTAAATAATTGCGAAATTATTGCGATTGCGTATAATGAGTAAATAAATTCACAGCTATACGCCGTGTATAGTCTCCGGTTTTCGTCGAAATCCACTATTAAGAAACAAGCTAAAGCTTTTGTTTATCGTCATCCACTACCTAAGAAAGAACCATATACAATTACGTGTTTACGTATATAAAAAAATTGTTCTTGTGTTGATTTGATTAATGTCTTAGAAAAATAAGACCGTTCGCAAAAAGTGTTCGACAGTTCTTTCAAGCAAAGTATTCATATAATTGATTATATTACTAATAAGCACGAGAAAAAGTAAGAAAACGTCATATTAACGATTATTATCTGCCATTAGAGAACACTTAGTGAATGCATTGGTTACCACTGTTGAGTTAATGTTGGCCTAACATAATAACTATACGATTGATATCAACATTACATGCACAATTAGTCATATGAATGTATACTATTATTTAGTGAATGTGTCAGCGTTAGAAAAAACAGAGAAAGAAGTAATCAAATCTCAGAAGCTGCTCCAGTTATTTTCTGTGTACAATTTTCATATTTAAAAAAGGACAAAATGACAAAAAAAAGTGACAAAAACGAAAAACCTTTTTTTTTTCTTTAACGTGAAGAGAAAAAAAGGACAGATAAACCTTTTAAGAAGTTCAGCTGAAAAGAACAAGTCTATATACTCTGTATTTAAATATAAACGATAATAATCAAATCGGAAAAACGATATAATTGCGATATAATCTTCTTTTTTGTTTTATATAATAAACACGCGTGTTTTTTATATAATTCTAATCGCTCTGTACATATCGTCAGATCAATCTAATTAAATATGTTTTACTACACAATTTATTAGCAAATTGTTTTCGAACATATGTTTATAGCCGCGTAAGATTTCCAAGATTAACGAAATTTTCTTCAAAAAAACTCGGATTATCGGTAATATGTGATTATGATAATTAACACAAACGAAATCGCAAGTCTTTGTTCTTGCGAATAATAAATAATTCGCAAGAATTTATTATTGATTTTCGCACGTTGCTAGTGAAGATAACAATGATAATCGTACATTCGATTCTTTATCGTATTTACTTCCGAGTGCATAGAATCACACGCTGCCTGACTCACACGGGCTGCACTCATACCCTCGTCTTACTTTCTTTCGCGGATACGTGCGCCGTTGTTGTTGCACCGGGGCACGATTACGCGAGTGGCGACCGTCGTAACCGAAAGAATTCGCGTGTATATGAAATTGCCGGTTGCAACTTCATATACATTCACGTGCGATTTTGTAATTGACTAGAACGAGCAAGACGTGTTTATACATGCGGTGAACACTTGGCCCCGCAAATATACGAAACTAGTCAATCCTGCCTTTTTTAAATTGCCAATATTAGATTAGAGTTCGCTCTTTTTGAGTCAGACTTTAACGACAGTTTTACGAACCAGAAATTAATTTTCCTTTAGAAAAAGTCACTCGTGTATCGCACAGGTATAATTTATTTGTCAAAGTTTATTCGTGGATTTAATTGACATTGTAACAACATAACATCGTAATTTTCTTTTCTTTCGAAAGCGCTATTCATCGAATATTATCCCTTATAATGCTTTTTCAAGAAAATATTATCAAAATTGTTATTAATTCTCATCTATATTGGGTAAAATATAGAGGAGTAAATAGAAAAAAAGATAAAGAAATAGAAACATATAAAGACGGAGTACGAAATATTATGTCTACATTTAAGATGTTATTGCGGCCTTGCCGAGGATCGAGGTCATGGTACCGAGAACTGTACTGAGATCACATGGTATTGTCTTCAATGAAGCCGAATTCCTTTGTATTTTTTCGAATAGTTGTTTCTTCAGTGTTTATGGTGCTCTAAACAGAAGATACACCAAAAATCAATATACATATTTCCAGATCAGATTATTAAAAATTTGAAGCTAGTTCTTATTGAAAGTCTTTGCTATTAACAATTTGTATTAATATTTTAGTTGAATATACTTAATATAAACATAAAATTTACACAAACATAGAAACCTACTTTGACGTAGTGCCATTCAGTTTATCCGTTTTCTGTACAAAAATGGAATACAATTAATGTATTTTAAATGATTATATTTTATTTAATTAATTATTTCTTTATTTAATTTTATATTAATTTAATTAATTGCTCTTGTATTTAGCAAAGCATTATTGTTGTTATTTAAATATATGTCAAATATATATTTATACAATTGTGTGCTCTATTTTTATACGATCTGTATTTTAAGACGTAAAATAATTTGTACATGTTAAGTTATTATTGTTCCGAGAATATGAGGTACGTTGATTGAATATATAAACAATAATATTAAAGTGAACTTGCGACACAAATGAACAAACATTATCATTATTTATTATTAAGACATGATTGGTTCACCTTACCAGTTTTTCAATGTTTGTGTTTCTAATAACTCGCTTTTCCGCTGGCAATTCTTGCGAAATGATTCCAGTTGATACACGTAACTCAATCGGAATATCGCGTCTTTGTTGATTCATACATTCGGTATCATAACAATTGCTTGTAATTATCGCTTTTTTTATTAGAATTGGTAGCTCATCAATAACTTTTGCTTCCCGAAAAATTCGACAATTCGGTCCTCGTGCAGCAAATGAAACGGGTACTTGGTCTCCAACACAGATTTGCGTTACGATCAAAAGAGTGTTCTTCAGAGAAGTCTTCATTGATTTAAGAAAACGTAAGTTTATTAATATTTACAAGAACGAGTAATTACTTTTAATGTTTTTATTTATTATATTTAATTATCTCTGATTTCGGCATTTAATTAAAATTTGACGAAAATACTCAAGTAAAAAAAACTACTAAACTATAATGTATTTTATATTTCTCTAAATCATTTGCGAGTCAAATCTGATGGTTTTATTGACACTGAAGCAATGATTACTTCGCGTTGAAGAAGATCAACAGCGGCGGCTCCCTCACTTCTCGGCACGACGGCGACTAACATATAACCTTTATCGTTCGGAACAGATTTCAGCTCTCTGATGGTTTTCTCGATTAAATTAATCGCAGTTGATTGAAGAAAGGACTGTTTGCGCGATGAAAACTCATTCTTGAACACACCATCATCGTTCTTGTGCAATGATTCAAGTAGAGAACGGAAAAATGCCATTCTTATTTTGGACAATATATAAAAAATATCCCATGTGGTATCATAATTCATATCTCCTATAAATAAAAAATTTGTTTCTTTTTTATCTTTTCCTTTATTTTTATAAGCTAATTAAAGATTATATTTTATGTCAAAATGTCTAAAATGTCAACTTGTTATATTATGTACAACATATATATCTATTTTTATTTACGCTTAGGATTAAAATGATCAAAATCTAATTTAATATATCATTCAAGATATTATTTTATATCTTATATTTTATATCTCATATTTGGAATTATTCTTAAAACTATCAGAATTTCATGTTTCATGTTTGTTTTTCACTGTCTTTTACTTTATTTTTCTTAATCTTTAACTAATGTTGTGAATCTTTTCACCTTTATTAAAATATTCATGTGAAATATTTTTCTTTAATTACATTCACTTCCGACTCACCGTCTGTCTTTGAATCTTCCGTAATCAAAGGGGAAACGGAACTCGTCCGGTCGCTAAGATCGATCACTTGCCAACCGTCGTTGGAATTGCGTTTGCTTTTACGCAATTCTAACTTTGCATTACTCTTATTGGAGCTAGACTCGTATTTAGGAAAAAATGGGATCGAGAAGTTGTTACTAGAAACTGCACCTGTTCCATAAAATCAAATTAAATTAGTAATTAACATAAGGAATGTTGGAAGGATACGTTATGATATTTTTATATATAATATTTTTTAATATTCTCTCGTGTTAATATTTTTAAAGATTTCGATACATGACTTGCAATAATTTAATAAATGCATTTTTTTGCTTTTTTCAAACCTGTTGTCATTCCTCTCGTGTGTGTCGCCCAGGATAACAACTCTTTGATATTCGAGAAAAGGATACGCTCGCAATTGCAACTTTTTTCCTTTTTTTCAGAAGTAGACGCGTTGTCCATAGAGAAATTAGCGTTCTCGATCTTGTCACGGCAATTCTACGATATAAATTTTATCTAACACAACTCGAATTTAAACTATCCAATGTAAATAAGCTTAAAAAAGATTGTATATACATAGTAATACAAAATAAAATTGTAAAAACTGAATTCTAGTTCTTTCTTTGAATTTAACATATTTAAAAACTCGCTACTTCCTCATAGTATCACATTTTTATCAAACTATTAATTATTTTGTAATAGTATATTTAATCAAAATACTTAAATATATATATATATATTTTTTTTTTCGTAAGAACACCGTGAGCTTATTTTGTACTTATTATTGAGTGTAGAAAAGAGAGTTAAATAATGAAAGAAAAATTTGTTCTATAAATGTTCAATTTTCTATTAAATTATCCGACATAGAAATGATTAATGTAATTATAGAAAAGTACTTGAAGAACTCCTTCAATCGCGAAGGGCAGTCTTTCTTTATAATCTTTCCACGAATTCTCTTCCTTTTTCTCATGGTCTCTTTCATCGATCAAGAGCAAAATGATATTTCGAGGAGTAACAGCATTAGCGTTTTCTTCAAAAGAATCAGAAACGTCGTTCCTCATTGCCGATGCTATTTCGTTGATAGGTTTTATCTCGATGAGTTTCATCTCGACTTTTTCAGTTGTTGATTTCTTCTTGCGCGTCTGATTTTCTAACATATTTTCTGATATTTTCGCATCTTCAGTTTGCAAGATCCTGTTCATACCAGTTACTTGCATCTCTTTCATTGCAGGGTCGACAAATACTCTTTGATAAGTGTCCAAGGACGGTGCCGTGTCCCATGCAGGTGGTACAAATACTACTATTGAGTTGTGACATACATTATTAGTCAATATGTATAATAAATGTTCTTAGAAAAGCAAATAATTTACGCATTGCTGTATATTTTTTAAAACAAAGAAAAAGAAGAAATATCACGATAGGTGCGTAAAAGTATAATCTAAAATAGCGAGCCTTTAAGAACAGTGATGAAAGCCGAAAATCAAATAAATAATTATGTTTACACGTCACTATTTAATCAGATTTTAATGACATCCGTAGTTTATACCAAAACATCAATAATTAATTATTAATTATTGACGTAAAATATTAGCATACAAGAGAATGTCTTGATGCTAATCATATAAACGTTAATTCAATAACAATTAGTGTTTTTAAATCAGATTTAATTGGTGTTTATACAATGTAAACATAGTCATTGGTATTGGCATTCATAGTCAATTCTTATAATTAAGTCGTCTCTAAGTACAATTTTAACATGTCCATAAATTATAGAGTATTAGCATCTCAAGACATTATTTACTGTTTGAAACAAGAACTGGTTATGTAAGTTGACTAAACGATTAATACACGTTTACACTTTGTCATAAGTTACAGTAATAAATATGACTATTCAAATGAAGCGGAGATGAAAGCAAAGATTGACGCGGTACCTGCGCGATCCATCGTAAATCCGTAGGAGCACATCATCAGCGACCACAGCATCAGAACGAAGATACCGAAACGTGACATGACGACTTTCACTAATAAAATTAATTTAAAAGTTTTCATTATATCACAATTAGATTATCCCGCTTCACATGCACCTATTTTTATAATATATCGCTCACTTGTAATCAATTCGAGATTGGTTTTTTTTATAAAAAGAGACTTTGTGGAGAGTGAAACAGTTTAATTCTAGATCGTTGTTCAATCTCGATAATTGCTACGTCCGCCTTGTTTTCTTCCCAAAAAAACAATTAGACTGCGCTGTCGCTAATCAACAAAATCGGTTGCCCGAACGACCAAAGGAGAATCTTATAAGTCACATGAAGTTCTCTTGTTAGGATTTTTTTGCAGTGATTAAAACATCACGTACAATTTACAGGTTTCTGATTTACGTAAAATCGCGTCGTTGAACCTAGATAATTTAAATTCAAATATGTATTGATTATTTTATCAATCATTGCATTTATTAACAAGTTTGAACAGGACACCCTTTATCCGAGAAACATCTTGGGAACATCTATGGATGTTCAGAGGACATAGGAACGTCCTCTAACATCTTTAAGAAGTCCCTTGAAGCGCATTCAGATTCCCACCCGAGTATTCCCCCGAGTATTATCCTTGTTTAACATTCGGTGAGCAACAATTAAGGATAAAATGGCTCTTGGTACTTAGGTGAGAATCTGAAAACGCCCCTGGAGGTCTGCTGTATGGGGAAAGAACTTTCTTGTTTTAAATAAAAGATTAAAATATCTAGGTATAAGTGCCATCAATAACTTCTTCAATGTTGACCTAATTTTAACTTATCCATCGTATCAGCACAAAGTATCATTAACCGACCATCGCACCGGTCGTAATATCGAAGGACTATCGCCCTAAATAATGAAGGATTCCTTACTATGTACTATCCATGTAAGTTGCGGTGCGGCCCTCGTTTTAAGTCGATACGTGACATATTTAACCGTTGAGACTTACATAGGTCACACTCGACGATAAAACTACGCCCGATTTATACTATTTGTTTTACGTCATTCGTTTCGTATGCGCGCGTATTTTACGTACGAATCATTTATTTTCATCGACCCTATGATGTATGTGATGATGGTATCCTGGCAAATTGCATCTCATTTACGCGAATTTAAGTACATTTTTCAACGTTGATTTTGCGTGTTGAAAAAGAGAGTGATTTTCCACAAAATTTACCAGAGAAAATTGGCTCCATCCAAAATCTGTCAAATCCAAATCATGCTGTGATGATAATTTTGCATATTAATTCAAAAAATTACTAAAAATAGATTCTTAAGATATATAAAATTAATACATAAAAATACAATAATTAATTTGTAAATATTTTCAAGAAAAATGTGAAATTTTGTATGATAAAAAGGATAGGTTGATAATTTGTAATAGCTACAATGCGCAAGCTAAACTTTTTATTTAACATCAATACAATCGTGAAATGAAAGCACGAGAGGCATTATCTTCTAGCTAATAATTACTAACATTAACAAAAGAATCGTAATAAGGGTCACGACTCGTAAAGTGTTCTAGAATAATATCCAGAAAATGGACGTTGCGCGTTGATATACGGCGATCTTAGCGGAAGCTTCGTTTCACCAGTTGCTAACCCCTGCTCTAGGCATCTTGAGACTTTAGACTGTTTTCTTCGGTAAAACTTTCTTTACGTTGAAAACTACACGGAGCACGGCGGTGGTGTACTGAATTATTAAGAAGATTATAGATCCCCGTTCAACTTGGGGATGGCGTAAGAAGCGATATGGCGCCGGAGGAACGTCGCGCAACGCGACGAAGCGGTTTGCGCCTGGTTACCGGACCCCGATTGGTCCACGTTTGGTACCTACCCCACTGGAAGGGGTTTCGCACCGACAAAGTAGTGGTAGCGGTCAGGTTATAACCAGGGGGTTGAACAAGAAGGTAGAAGTAGAGGGTACCTGGGCCTCGGCCGGAGAGACAAGACCATTCGCAACACAAAACCGTTTGTGCCATAAAACGACGACTGATGGCAGGCCGGCTAGTTAGTTTACTCTTCTTCGTTCTTCTGATATATTTGGCAAGATTGCTGCAACGTAATCGCGAGGCGCTGAAGGCCGCATCATAAATTGGCCGCGGAGTTCCGATCAATTCTTCGCTTTTGGACATCTGTAATATTGGATAGTTAAAGCGACCAAGGTAGGTCCTTCGCTCTTATTTCAAAGCACTATACTTTCTGAACAAAAACGCGAAAGTTCAAAATCCGAAAAATGTAAAAAGATTCGGACATCTTTGATTTATAAATACGAAAATACAACGCATGTCTGGAGAAACAGGAAGCTTCTGTTCAAGTCTTGTATCGTTTGACGACGAGTTGGAAAAGACTCTAAAGGCTACCTAGAAAAATCTTATCGATTTTTTAATTTGTAATTTATATCGCGATTTACATTGTATAAAAAGCACGTAATCAGCGATATGTTGGACGCAAAAGAAGAGTTATAGAAGTTTCATTTATAACTACCTTATTATTTCATACGTACCTAACTGCCTTGTGACAAATGATACAGGTCGTGTTTTGTGCGCGAAATCAAAACCAGCTATATTAAAAAATAGCTGTATATTTATGTTAAATATACGTGAATCATGTCAATAAAATCTTGTAATTTAAAAGATAATAATTGTTATTATTTTTTTGAATTATGAAATATTTACTTGACAGTCCGTGTCCGTTGCATTTATTTGAATCAATTAATACTTTATTAAATCAACAACTTTTTTCTCAGTGAGCGAATTTTAAAGTTGCCAACGAATTTTAACGGCAATTCCACGAAATAGAGCGTTCGATAGTTTAATAATAAATTGTCAACTCGTGCAATTTGCTCGCAGATGATGAAGATGAAGCAACAGGGCCTAGTGGCCGATCTCATGCCTAACATAAGGGTCATGAAGATGTTTGGACATTTCGTATTCAACTATTATGACGACAATTCGTCCAAATACTTACATAAAATATTTTGCTGTGTAAGTAATCACGAATTTCAACATATAATACTGTTAGGTAGTATTTTCATCAAATTACAATAACAAAATTTAATTTCATCTGATCAAATCGAAGTTATCGACATTCTTTAGCCTGATTTTGGTAACAATATTTTGACAAGATATCTAATAGCTTTAGGATGGTCTATAATTTTAACAATCGATACCATTAAAATTAATATTAGTTCATGGTATCTGTGAGTGAGGATCCTCCAGATCGTACACACACGCCGCAAAAACTATCTTTTCTAGGCGAATCTATTTCTGCTGCTGTTACAATTCGGCCTGTGCGCGGTGAATCTGATCATCGAAAGCGCCGACGTCGACGATCTCACGGCCAACACGATTACTCTCCTTTTCTTCACGCACAGCATCGTCAAGGTCGTTTACTTCGCTATCAGGAGCAAGTACTTTTACAGAACGTGGGCGATATGGAACAATCCGAATTCACATCCGCTCTTCGCCGAGAGCAATGCGAGATACCACGCGATCGCTCTGAAGAAGATGAGGCTGCTGCTCTTCTTGGTTGGCGCCACTACCGTGCTCGCTGCGGTAGCTTGGACCACTCTTACTTTCTTTGAACATCCGATTAGGAAACTCGTAGATCCAATTACGAATGAGACGACAATTATTCAGGTAATAATTCAAATTTATAAAATACAAAACATATTTCCGCTCAACAAGGAAAATTAAAAATTATTGAAAATAGAAAGGAATACTTTAAGATAATTTAATTATCTTTATATTTAATTATACTTTAATTACACGGAAAAAAAATTTTACTTGTTTCAAGAAAAAATTATTTGATTCAAGAAAATAATTTTCTCAAATAGTCCCTAGCAGACATTTAATTAATTTATAAAACAATTTTCTCGTTACTAGTAAATATTTTTGGTAACCAAGAAATTGCTTTTTGAAATAAAAATTATATTTTATAAAAAGTAATCAATGTACGATTTCTAATACTCATGTCATAAATTTAAGAAAAATGTTCTCTTATTAACAACAATCAGATTCAAGTAATGACATTTATTAAATTTAATGAAACAATTTTCTACTGACAAGTAATTGTGTTTTTATTAGAATAAAATATTTTCTTTATTGATAAATTATTTGCTTCAAGATAATATTTTATTGGAACAAAAACACATTTATTGTGGCAAGTAATTAATTTTTTCAATCAACAAATTACAGTTCAATTGAAATATAATCATAATTTAAATTATAATTTATAATTAATATATAATTAAGACACGTTATGTGTATGTATGTATATAACTCAAATATTTATCTTTACATATTATTCTTTTTTTTATTTGATTTTTACCTACGATATATATGAATTGCATTTATTGTATGGTATTATTACTCGAGTACCTTTTTTATTCTGTGTACATGAGACACTTCTTATAATTTAGTTGCCGCAACTATTAGTCCGTTCGTTCTATCCGTTCGATGCCAGCAAGGGAGTAACGCATATATTGATGCTCATCTACCAATTCTATTGGGTGTTCTTCATGCTTGTTAATGCTAATTCGTTGGATGTGCTTTTCTGCTCGTGGTTATTGTTTGCCTGCGAACAGTTGCAGCACCTGAAACAGATTATGAAACCACTCATGGAGTTGAGCGCAACTTTGGATACGGTGGTACCGAATAGCAGCGAACTCTTCAAGGTCTGTCGAATTTCAATCCCCACAAATAATGTTGATCATATAAATTTTATTCCTCACATTCAAATCTAGATCTATACATTTTTTTCATTTTCTACATTTATAAGTATTTTTAAGACGTTAATTTTGATCGATATAAAAAGAAAATTCCATTTCTATTTCAAAATAAAAATAGGATTTTCTTTTTATATTATAATTAAAATTAGAAATAGTAATAATGTAATCTTCTTACGAACTCTCCCAAATTTAATAACAAAAAATCCAAATAAATCAGGGCGAATGAGAGTCAACGTGGTAGTTAATACGCAATCTTAAATCTTTATTCCAAAAAATAAAATCTTTATTCCAAAAAATAGAAAATAGTACGTTTTAGTTCAATAAAAAGCAATTTCTGTCATCTAAAGTATTAAAATAAACGATGCAAATTTCTGCATAATTAAAATTTTCCTCAGACTTCATGTGTCAATGAGATTTTTTTGTGCGTATAGGCTGGTAGTGCGGATCATCTTCGTGAATCGAGTGAGAACAATCAGCCACCACCACCTTCGGCAGCAGCCC